AGTTTGAAACTGGATACACTCTCAAGAGCATATGTGAAATCAGAATGCATAGATTGGACAAGTGTAAAAGATACTTAGACGAGGAGGGAGATGGGCTTAAGTATCGTAGACACGAGGGCGGATCTTCTAAATGGACCGCATGGATGGACCGTGACATTTATTCTTACAGCCAACCATAACGCACTGCGTCACGCTGAGCTGCGCTGCCACACGCAAAACAGAAATGGTTGTCGAGTTACTAGGCACGAGTAGTTTGGAATCGTGATGGAGGCTGCGTTAGCATGCGTGTGACGGCGGATGGGTCGCTTGGACAACCCGCTTACTCAAGCAATCCTTACGCGTTTGCGCTGACGTGTTGGCGCAAGGACTGGACTCTTTTGTGTGGACTGGCCCAGTCCGACTGGGTGGCATGAGCATCCAGGGCCTATGGAGTCCATTTATGAACCAGTGGAGGCATGATGCCGACGCGACCTCAGGCATCAATCGACAGTGAAGAGTGACCGGATCTGGATGGAGTGACCCCGCTGACGGTGGAGGAACTACAGCCAATGGTTCATTTGGAGCTGCTTATGCGCCAACTGTGAACATATACTCCTGCTCGGTACCACATTCGCATCCAGTGGTCGTCGTCACATAGTTTTGGAGGAGTTCATGCCCATGTTGAACCGAAAAACTAAAGTTGAAACGGCTCTCTGACGTGGTCCACATAACGGATCTTCAGATTCCAGAAGCACGAAAGACGCGCCTTGACGATTTGCTGCTGACAGCGTGGCTTGGATGGCTCGCGCTGCATCGCGGAGCAGTGTGCACTTGCTCAGGAGGGGCACAAGCTGGGTCAGCGCGGACTGTGTCACATGTGCCAGCCTGCTCACCACCGAAGTATGTTGGTTGGACAGCTGGGTTAGAACTGTTAGTATCCGATAACTCAACAAGTTAATCTGCAGTAGGGGCAAATACAATTTTTATCACGCGAAAGTGGAGCTCTGGTGGTGCTGCAGAAGTGTCGACAATGTGCAAAGCAACATTCTGATAAGCTTGCGTCGGGAATGATGGTGGTTGCCTGTCCATGGACTGCTGACTGCTGACTGCAAGGACTGGACAAGTTTGGACCAAAGTCTGCTTGGCAAGGCAATATTGCTGGTCCAATGGACCCAAGGCTGCTTGGCAAGGCAATATGCTGGCGATTGGCGCCCGACCGAACGCGTCGTGGTAGAAGCTCCAAGTCTTGTCTGGCCATCACGACAGGATCTCCTGATTTCGGATATGCGAAGGATTGCTCGAGTTAAGACTCGCGCATCGACCAGCTCGAATGAGTCATTCGGAATGACACCGTGAGGTCGGCTCTACCACACTTAACCACGTCGTCTCCATGATCTACACAGGCGACTACTCCGGGGTCCTTGGTAGCTCTGCGGCTGTGTTTGTCGCGTTGTGCGCAATTGTAGCCGAGAACAATTTGTTGTCGAGTATCCGTTATAATCTTGGCATTTCAGCCCAGCGTGTATACCTGATCTGTGCGATGTGGAAATACTAGGAGCATTTGACCCGCGGAACGATATGATTCACGAACCTGATGAGGCAGAGCCAATTAGCGTT